GTAATTATATCGCTAAAAGTTAAACTATTAAATCCCAAGATTTTAAAAGCGTTCATAAATTTTTGTTGACAAATTATTATAAAAAATATTTTGTAAATAAAAATTTTTCTTTATTTTCTCGACAAAAATATTTTCTAACTGATTAACGAAGTAAATAATAATGAAGTAAATAAAGCAATCCATTGACGCAATTAGAAATTTTTTATACGTACTTAATAATTTTCGAATGGGTATACTATTTTTATTTATTTTGGAATTCCTGATAATATAATATGTATGTGTAAATGTGCATACAAAAGAATTTAACTGATATCATATTAATCTGAAACATTTTGGGAAAATTTCAAATGTTATCGAATAACAGTTGACAATTATTTAATAAGTTATCTGGTTAGAATAAGTGTTACCCCCCTGAATGAGTAAGTAAATTTTCAACAACTTGTTTATATTATGCATTGATTCGAATTGGTGCAATTCAAATCCAAATTACTTTCAAGGAAAATACTTGATTTTTATAAATATTTAAAGTAGAATTATTGATTAAAAAAAAATAATAATATGCAGCTCTACTTTAAATCTTCTCCTATCTTCTTTAAGTTTCTTAGAAGGAATTTGGAAATTCCTTTCTGCTCTATGTATAAATATGTATAAAAAGTTCAAAATTCTTGTACGGAAGAGAAATTGAACGAAAGGACAATATTGCTTCCATAAATATTTCAATTAATTCCATAACGATTCAAATTCTATTATAATATTTTTCAGTATATAGAAATATAATGCACCTATAATATTTATAAAACAATAAAATACAAAATAATAATATTAGAGATGAAAAATGAAGTGAAAAATATTTTATTCATACAGATTTTTTATGTTAAGGCAATTATTTTTAGTTTGTAGTCCAATTTCTTATCGGAAATTATTCAATCCCCCCACCCCCAGACTCCCTCCCTAATATCAAAAAATTCATTGTACGCGTAGCAGTTATTCACTATACATAAAATCAACTAAACAAACAGGTAATTTTGTGTTGTATATGGGCAATTTTGAAATGATTGATTTATTTTTGAAAAATTTCGTGTGCTTGGTGGCAAAAAACGGAATTTAATCAATGTTTATCAGTGATTTGAAATTGAAGAGAAATTTCCGATTTTCTTTAACATTTTACTTTTAGAAATGAAAGCGTGTTTTAACGAAATGCAAAATAATTCTGTAGAAATTAAAAATTTGAAAGGGGTTTTTTTTAGATATATAGGGTAAGATGTAGGGTATAAGGGCATTGAAACAATCAAATAATTTTGATTTTCCTTTCTTTATCATACAAAGTAACTGTAATAATGTATAAAAAGAAAATTTTTAAGAAAAGAAAAAAAAAATTTCAAAAAAATTTTTTAACTTTTTGATTGTTTTCAAGATGATTTCCATGTAGATTAAAATGATATTTAAATATACTCGTAAATATAGAATGCGCATGAGAGACCTCTTGGATAACACACCACAGGTAAATCAGGTAAAACGCGTGCTAAGTAATTTTCATATGATTTTTTTTTTATTGTTTTAAAGACTCTTTTTTTTTGTTTTTATAACAGTAACTTTTAACTTTGGCATGCTTTTTTCATTTATCACGCCGAGTTAAAAAATGTATTTGTATAAAAATGAAAATGAAAATGAAAAACATAAAAAAAAAGTCAAAAGTCACGATGGTTTAAGTTCAAAACATGAACAGGAAGCTTTAATGGTTGTTTGGTCTTTTAGGTTACAATTTTTTTTTTGTTTTTCATTTTGTAAAAGATTTTCGGTTTTAGATATTAATTTTGCTTTTCTTTTCATTTTTTTTCAAAATTTTAATAAAATTCTTGTTATCATTGTTATTACAGAAAGATTATTTTCACAATTTTCAGGTGTGTAACAATTGCATGCTGTGATTTTGAATCAATTACAAAAAAAATTTTTTTATTTTCACATTTTTTTTTTGCTTTGATTCCCATACAAGAAAAATTATTACAATGTGATTATTATACACTAAAATTATTACCTCAGATATTTAATGGGGACTGATACAAAGCTAATAATGCTAAAAAAATAAAATAAAAAAAAAGAAAGTTATTAATCATTTCAAGAGATTTTATTTATTAAGTGGTTTATCTAGTGGTGGTTTTCAAAATAATTTTTTTATAAACCTATTTGGTAATTGAATAAGCTTTTCTATATACATATAAGAATATTATTTTTAGTGTTACCATAACACTAAATCATTTCTATTAAATAATATATTTGCAAATATAAATAGCCTATTTTTATTAAGCAAGTCAAATTTAATTTAAACGAAATAATGTCAGCTTTTTCATAGACGAATGGTTTGATTATTTTACTACGAGTATTTCATGCGGAGCAGAAAATCTTTATGAAATATAGAAAATGCCAAAATAAATTTGAATTATAAAATAATTTCGATCAATATTAATAATTTAATTTTAAAAATCTTTTTATTACTTGCCAAATAATATAATGCACATAGGGTGATTCAGTAATCAGTGCCTTAACATATACCGAATTGTATATATTAGAGAATTGGCAACGCGCGATATTTTGAAAACTTTTGTCTGGCTTGCCAAAGCATAAATATTATTTTAGGAAAAATCAACAAGCTTCGACGGTAAGCGTCCCGAAATGTGGACGATGATAAAAATGTGCGAAAACGGAAACATAGTGCAAAATCTATTTAACTGCGAAAAACTTCCCAGCGAATACGATGTAATACTTATATCCCAAACACAACTGGACTTAAATGAATCATTGAATTTGAACAAAAAGCTCCTTGAATTTTTAATGAATCAATTAATGAAAGATAAACTATGTAATTTGAGTTTCCCTTTTAAAAACTGAACAATTTTTTTATAAAACTGTAAAATTTTGTTCAATAAAGATATTTTTTTCTGTATTTATTTTTAATAAAAGCACTATATAAGTTAGAAAGTTACAAGAATATACGGCCCGCATAAAGAGATTTTTTTTTCGAAAATGGTTTGTCGTCCAAAAAACGTTTCTGATCCCTGGTTAGAGCATCAAAAATTGATAATTTTTTGTTTAGAACTAGTTGTTAAATCTCAATGGTTTTCGGGATACGCAGGGTTTAATTAATTTTTGCGAAATTTCTACTTTACAACCTTTTTTTTCTCAAAAACAAACAGTTTTTGAAAGAGACAGTAAAGGACATATTACTTAAATTTGTATTTAATGTCTTTTGGAGTATCAAGCATTCGAACTTAAGAAATGTTCCAGTTTTTCCATTTTGTATTTTTTTTAATTTTCTTTATTCCGAAAAATTCCCATGAAATTTTTGAAAATTTTAAAATTTTGTTTTACAGATTTTCACCCTGTAAATTAAATTGTCTTTCAATTATTTTTAATAATACTCAAGTAACATTGCACTCAAATAATTTAATATTTAAAGTTTAAATCAAAATAATTTAATCAAATACGTATTTATTTATTAACAAAAAACAAGAAGAAAAGAAAAAATATCTCTAGTACTTTTTAAAATTAATTCTAAATTTGTTAGGAATTCCCATTTTCACACAATTTTTTATTAAAACAAAACAAAAAACATAATTATTTCATATACCAATATAAACTGGAGACATTTTAATCCATCACAAACAATATTTTAAAAGTACCATACTTGAAAATTTTTCGCACATTACAAACAATGAAAATTTTATTAGTTTAACACTGCGTATATTAAAACTTAATGAATGAAAATAAAATCTAAAATAATTTAATTAACAATAATAATTATGAAAATTAAAATTTATAAATACATTTAATGATTAAATTCAAGTGCCTGTACTTGAAATTATAAAAAGTAAAATAAAATCCATGTGATCCTTATATTGTTTCAATCAAACTAAGTACGACTAATAAATGTGATTATAATCCCAGATTCTTAAGCTTTTATTATTTCGTCATATTATGTGTAAAACAAAAACGTGAAAGGCAAAAATAAATCAATTAAAATTAGTTTACCTTCGATAAGCACTTTTAGTAGCAGTAATTATTTAGTCACTTATTTATAACATGTGAACTGCTAAGAGCGAATCATTAGAATTTGAAAACAAAAGCAGAGCGATTGCTACGAAAGTGCTACAACTAAAGTGCTACAACGCAAATTTAAAATTTTATCAAAAACTTTTGCACTATTTCGAATGATATTATTGTTGCCCTTGTAATATTGCACTAGTTACTTAGCCCTGAATACATATACACGCATAGGTTACAGCATTTTTAGACAGCAATGCTGCAAATATTTTAAGACTCTGTTAGCAAAATCTCTGTTTTGAAGTAATTTTTTCTTTTTAAAGTTAATAAACAATAGTAAGCATAATATTGAAAGGAAGGTACCGAATTGTGACACTGAATTCAATTCATTGAAATATCGGAACTTTAAAATTCTTGAAATTAATATCGGAACTTTGGCACAAGTCTTGACTATTAAAACTAGTATTAACTTAACAAAGAATTCGAATAGCAAAAAAGTTTTAGACAGTAGATAAATTACAATTACATAAAAATTTCTTATAGTTAGATTCTTGGATTTCAACAGTTCCGAGAATATTTGTATAAAAATCGATTTGCATTTCGAAACCTTCAATAATTTCGATTTTTTAATAAATCCAAAAATATTCCTAAACCTTTGTTTTCACTAGTATATTTTCAATTAGAAACTGCTCTTCTATAATTACTGTAATTCTAATCAAATTTTACAAAATCTAAGCTATTTTAGATTACAATTTGATTGAAATTCAACGCTTCTTCTTCTCCTTAAAAAAAATCAATTGAATCAATATGATTGTGATTAATTTGTTTAAACTTTCATTTAAGAGGGGATTAGAACTCTTATCGAAATAAATTAAAAAAATTTTATGATAAGATTATGTGATAAAGTCTTTGTAGGTATATATAGAACGTAAATTTTCGAAAATTACCTTCAATTCAAAAACTTTCTTTAAAGTTATTATTACAAATTTTATTAAAAAAAAAAATATTTTAAAAATGAAACTTCCATTGATTTTCCTTTTGGTTTGCTGTACAGCATTCACTTCATCTAAATCTATTAGCAATGAAATTTGCACTGATTTAATCGAAGCTGAATTTGATCTTGTACCAGCCGGTGTTTGGGATAATGTTAAGGATTGTGCTAAAGGTGTTGTAAATGCTGTTCTTGAATTAGGTGCTGATTTAGCTGAATCAACAAATGGAGCTATTATTAATGCACTTAGATTGAAAGATCTTGTTTTGAAATGTTATAACGCTGGTGGAAAAGTTCAACAAGCTGCTTGTGTTGTAAAGAATGTAAGTATCAAAAAAATATTCATAATCTATTGAAAAACTTAATTATTTATGGTGTACTTTGCTATATTTTCTAATATAGGCTGGTGAATTCAAGAGAACCATTTCACAAGTTATTGATGATGCTCAAGAATTATATTCAATCTTGAAAGAAAAGGGTGTAATTTTAGTTGATGCCGTCAAATCCTGCCGTATTCGTGATCCAGAAACAATGTTCTACTTTGAAGTAATCGCTGCCCAAGTTGAACAATGTCCCGCATTATAAGAAGTTTCGAATAAAAAGTTGAATTGAAGAAAACAAAAACACACAATTTTTATTTTATATAACATTAATTTTTAAATAGGGGGTAGATTTGTGGATATGTTTTAAGTTGATCCTTAGCGCTTATATCTTTTGCACTATGCATACATTTTCATTTTTGTCTAGAAGAGAAAATATGTAAATATTCTCTTAATATTTCTATATCTTTTATCTATAAGGACCTATAAGGGTAAAACCAATTTCTTCCAACATTTTTAATTTCTCCGGTAAAGCGTATGTTAACACTTAACGGACGAGGCCAGTCGATTTACGTTTTTTAATCCAGACTTCCTAGGACGGGTCACATAGATTAACGATTTTTACATGAATTTTAAGTACGTTGAGTTAGTTTTTTTATTTTACGCATATTGTGTTATTTTTCCTTAGTGCCATTAGTTACTGGACTATCTGCCTGTTGTTCCTACGATGTATAATTTTGATTTTAGAAAGTATTTCTTAATAATTTAATAACATTAAAATGGCATGCAACAGAGAGTTTTTAGAAAACTTATCCGGAAGTGATGTTGAGTTTGAGAACCTTTATGAAAGAAGTGATATTTCAAGTGACACACTTAAAAAATGAACGCTTTAATAAAGACTGTCATGAAATATTATAACAAACAAAGATATATATATATATATATTGATTTCATAAATCAAATATTTATTTAAGAAAGTTTTATTGTAATTACAACGATTTAAATCTATATATTAATGTTTATTTAATTCCCCTGAAAAATGCCCAAGAGCTAGGAAAGACAGAGCAAATTCGACCCGTCCATTAATTGTTAAATGAAAGACAGTTGAATTATCGAGTTTTTGGAGGGCTTCCGTTTACTGTTTACATCATTATATCATTCTCAGATCAGTTAGAAATTACTATACCTTACCTTCTTAAAACTTAAATTTCAAAGAAAAGAAACTTAAACTTTAAAGTTTAAGTTAAACTTCAAACTTAAACTTAAAGAAGAAACAAATAGTTCTAAACAAACGTTTCATATAAGCATAAAAAAATTCAAGAAACTAATAAGTTTTTAGATTAAATGATTGGAACTTGTCAACTATGTTTTTTAGTTCAACAGGTCCCTTTTTATGTTCCAAAAATTAATAAGTAAAATTTTGATGGAAGACTTGAAAAATAGAGAGTTCAAGATCTTTTTCGATAATGGACAAGCATAAGATCAATTTCTAATAACGTCACTGAACGAAAGTTGTGCAGTTTCTCTAGAATATTATGAATAATATGTTAGAGAGCATATGTAGTTTTAAATTTTTTAGTCTTTTCAAGAAGGCATGTTTTTGATCCTGAAAACTTGAAATGCCATATATCAAAAGAGTTCCCCTACTAAAATCGTAATAAGTTTCTCTGTTGGAGGTATTCACTACAAGTTTCAGTAGAATACGGCGCCACGCATGCTTTCTTCTTAGACCAAAAGACGTCATAGAAAATAAAGATTTCTTTCACTATATTTGTTATATTCCACTACACTTAGAATCTATTTACAATTTATAAACTTAACGAACAATAGGCGATCCTATCCGAATTTTCCTATTAAATTTTCAATTGTTTTGGTCACATCTGAAATGTTATTTCCCTGCCTATACATGCATATATGAATTTTTCCAGCATTTTGAGAAACTAAAAGCTTGCATACGAAGAAATGAAGATAAAAGCCAGGGTTTTGAAACATGAAAAAATGAGAGATCACTAAAATAGGGAAGATATTAGCATTGCATTAACGGTTTTGACAAAAGACTGTCTCTCCACAAGATGTTCAAGAAATTTGTTATTGTGTCTTGGAATTTTTTTTTGGATTTCTGAGATTTATTGAGGACTTTCATATAGTTAAAAAATTATACTTACTGGAAAAACTTATTGCTATCAAAGGGCTTAAGAACTGGAATTTTCCAAATTGGATTTCACGATTGATTGCGTTATCTATTGTAATTATAAAAATATTTGATTTATTTCCTCCACCATTCATTTATTTTAGCAATATTCACTTAATATTGCCAAAATTTAAGCAATCCGTTCAAAATAAATGATTCGCTTTGACAATATTAGATTATAATTTTATCTTTTAATAGATTGCAATTCGCAAATTCTCTATCTACTAATCCCTACTAAAAGTTAATATTCTTTATATTGTTCATCTAAAAATAGACGAGCCGGACTCTAAAGCAAAACTTTTCTTAAAAGATTAAAATTATCAAAAATTTTTGGCACAAGATTTTATTAGTATCTCTATATGATTCTATACTATCTCTGATAAGGTTAATAATTTTTAGTATAAATAGAAATCAAATTGGTGAAAGTTATTTAATTAAAGAAAAATAATTGATAGTAAAAAATAAAATTTAAAAAAAATGAAATTTTGTTTGGTATTCCTTTTGGCTTCCTGTGCCGTCTTAAGCTCAGCTAATTCAATTGAAAATGATTGCATTCAAAATGAGCTAAATGTTATTCCAACTGGAATTGTTGACAATATATTCAAATGTTTCCAAGGTGTTGTTAAAGCTGTTCTAGATTTGGGTGAAGATTTAGTTGAATCAACAAATGCAGCTGTACAAAATGCACTTAGATTAAAAAATCTCATATTGGAATGTTCAAATGCTGGTGGAACTATAAGACAAATGGCATGTATTGCTAAAAATGTAAGTAACAATCGTATTATATGCTCTTAATGCAAGCTCTCTATAAAATAATTAATATTTTGTAGGTTGGTGAATTCAAAAATACTATTTTACAAGTAATCGCTGATGCACAAGAATTAGTTGAAGTTTTACAAGATAGAGGACAAGCATTAGTTGATGCTGTTACATCATGCCATTTACACGATTCATTAACATTGTTTTACATTGAAGCGATAGCTGAACAAATTAAAGAATGCCCGAGTTATTGATAAGATTTTTTGACCGAATACAAAAAAATAGAATTGGAAATATTAAACGTGTTTGTTTTACTTGTGAATTAGGATGTGTATTGCTACTGTATGTATATGCAGTGGTATTTAAAAATTATAGCATTCAATTAGGAAAATAATTTAAATAATTAGAAAATGAATAGTTGAATAATTGCAAAAATGAAAATAACCTTAAATCAAACTGGTATAATGTAATATTATTATTTCTGAAATCTTATTAAATTTCTATTTTTAATTGGAGAGCGGCATTTAAACTTTAATACAAAATGATCATATTATAATAATTTTAAATCTATACTTTAATTATAATTTACTACCAGTAATGCTTACTAATCCTGTATAGGAAAAAAAAATATTTTAATTGTATAAGATTTCAGGTTTTGTTTGAACGTTCAAATCGCATATAATATGTGAATTCTTAATATAAAAGCTGCAGCAGCTGACTTGACATGCAAATTTAAATTATTCTAAATTTATGACTGTTGTACGTATTATACATTAATTGCTTTTCTTTTTATATACAAAATAATAATATTAAATCTTTTTTATTTAAAATAAAATTAAAATATTGTATGTGTGCATAGAATAGTATTTGTGTATGTAAAATGCATTTTTGAAAAAAAGAAAAATAATCATTTATAAAGATTATGAACAAACTAAAAAGTTATTTTGGTTGTAACAACATTTCTGTTCATTGAATCGCGTGAATTTAAAAAATATTTCATTAAAAATTTAAAAAAAAAAAGGAGAATAGGTAAAGTTGGCCGTGTCAACTCTGTGATATTCATACAAATGAATAATTTTAAGTGGTGTATGTTTATTGTCAGACTGTTTCACACATACTCTTGGTTTTTTATATGTAAAGTGCTTCTATCCAAATATGGTAGTTACCACATACTCTATATCAAAGCAATTTTATTGAAAACAATGGCCATATTATTACCATATTCGCTTATGCAAAATTTCAGCAGTGTAATTTCAGTAGTTTCTATTATATACGAAATGACTTTCGAAGTTGTACGACAACTACCAGTACAAATCAAGAAATTTCAATTAGTTTTGTGAAATATAAGAGCCATAATAAAACATTTGCTTGTGCTACAATTTAGTTTTTTCAATTTCTGATATCTAGTAAAATAACTTTTGAAATTGTATGGCAACTCTCATAAGCACTCATATGGCAATTTTAATACAACGAAAATAATGACAATTTTACTACATATGTTTTTGCAAAATTTTAGTCAAATGAAACTTCAACAATTGTAGAAGTTGTATGGCAGCTACCACAAGGAGTCAAGAAATTTCAATGATTTTTATCATACATGACAGCAACAATAATATACTTGCTTGCACAAAATTTCAATATTATAGCTTCAATAATTTCTGTGAAGTAAACCCAAAAAACTTTTGAAATTATAGAACACCTACCCGAACCATAGTTTCACACCCAATTTAAGTAAAGTTGTGGGATGTACTGTTATAAACCATTTGTGAAAATTTTGTGCGCATACGTCAATTAGTTATTCAATTATCGTTGGAACAGTTAGACAGGCGTAACAGTGTACAGATGGACAGACATGGTTAAATTACTCAGAATTTAGCGCTGATCAAAAACATTAACTTACTTACGTTTATATTTCAGACCATTATTTCTTAGCATTGCAAACGGTACGGCAAATTTAGTATACACTTCGAACATGCGTTCGTATAAGTATAAAAATTATATACATAGGTGTATAATATTATAAAAAATACATATTATATACATCTATTAGAAGCACTATATGTGCACATACATAAATAATTTTAAATTCGTGATTATTATTTGTCATGAATTATTAAAATTGATCGCATACATACACCAACCATCTCTGATAATTTTCATGAAAATGACTTTTCCATTTTAATTTCATTTTATAAAATAATATACATAAAAAAAAAAAAATGCATTAAAATAATATTTTGTTTTTTAAGTGAAATTATGCAATGGTGGCACACTGCTTGATATATTTTATACTATTCGCGCATACTTTAAGTATGGTTGTATACGATCACAATTCCAAAATGTTATT